GGGATCCTGGCCAGTGTTGCTTCACCTGCTGGGTACCTGCCATAGCTGGGGCTGCCAAGGCAGGATCTGTACCAGGAATGCACCAAATTCCTCCCAGTCCTGCAAAATCACGGTGTCCCAAGGTGTGATGCAGCGATACGTAAGGCAGTAAGAAAACTGTTGTAAAAGCAAACCAGGAGAGAGAAGAAAAGCACACATCTCTTAACAGAAGGGATGGAAAGGGCTGGAGAGTTCACCACTACTGCTTCTGCCTTGCAAAGTTGATGGCACAATTAAAATGAAAGTAGAATAGGAATAAGGAAAGTAGAGGTGAAAGGCTATTCCATTTGAGAACATTCAGTTGGTAGGGCCTGAATTTATCTCAGTTCATTTGCTTTGGCTAATGACTTAAGGAAGTTTTAAACTATCGGGTTTTAATGGAGGACCGAAACATCCCTGCAGGACTAGAGGAGATTAACAGTAAGCCCATTTATATAAAGCAGGACTTACAATCGGCTAGTTGATAAGAGTTGAGATTCCTGAAAACTACTGGGACAACCAAACATTTAATTCCTACAGATCAGCAATACTAGTAGGATAATTAATAAATTCATACAGTCTCTTAATTAGAAAAAAAAGTTTTAAATTAAACAAAAAAGCTTTTTTTGATTTGCTGACCCAGAAAAGATAAAGATTAAGATCACTTGGCTTTAGTAATGTTATTGATATTTCAATGTTGTGTCCAAGCAAAAGATCCTGTGGAAAACATTGCCCAGCTTGAGAACGGGTTACAAGAGGAGACCGGGACTTTCTTCTAGTGCTTTCTGCAAAACAGAACTGTTTTGTAGGAGTGCTAAAGGCCATTTTGTAGGGGAGCTAAGGGCCATTTTGTAGGGGACAGGATCCTGCTTAGGGCATGGCTTGGAAGCAACACACCTTCATCTGGTCCCTGCTTGCTAGGCAGTGCTGCTGGGGAACGCATCGCTGCCACGCAGGCGTGCCCTGGCAAGCCGGGACAGGTCGTGAGCCGATGCTTTCATGTCCTTCGCTCACCCAGCTGCTCCACACTGAGCTTACACACAGCACACGCACAGCCACAGAGGAGCAGGTGACTCCAGCGGGAGGAGCCTGCTGCCCAAACATACGCACGTGCTTCTGCTTATTCAGTGTAGAGAACGGGACAGTTGCGGTAGCATTGCTCACTTTCGGCAGCTGTCTGCTGTAGTGCACATTTCTTGGCTACTTTTTGCAACCACAGCTCCTCTTTATGTACCTCACAAGGTTTCCCGCTTCTTGACTGGTGTTTTTTTGCATAAAATGTTCTGTGTGCATTGCAAGCAGTCAGGCTGAGTACAGGACAGTTCGGGTGACGGTGCCAGTAATGCCTCAAGGAAACAGAGTTTGCATAAACCAAAGCAGACACTTACTTACGTAACTGGGCATCAAGTCTCGCTGTCAAATCCATGCCAAAACATCACTTTGCTTTTCTATCATTCTTTACTCAGTGGGGAAGCTTCAAAGCAAATATCTCTCCAAAGAGAGAAAAGACTTGAAATAATAATCTACCAGAAAATTATACTCTTAACATTTTAAAACATACCTTCTGTTGGTCAAGGGTGATCAGTAAAACAAATCAAGCTGTGCATGGCAAATAAAACTTGGGAAAAAAAATTTAAAAGACAGCAACATGTAGCCTGTAAAATCTTCTGGACTGAAATAAGAGATGAATTTGTAAAGGTGTCAAGGCCAGATGTCATGGCTCACGCTTCCACAGATGTCTCACAAACACTCAAAGCAGAGTAATGTTTGAAAACTTTAGGCACAGCACCAAGACAATATGGATTTAGGAATGTTAATGCTCTGAACTGATACACTTCCAAGGCAAGCCTCTTCCCATCTTTATTCAATGCCTGGAACACCAGAGGCTCTGGTCTGCGTGCTCTTGACTTGACACAGAGAAGTACTTCAGTGGAATGTAAAGAAACAGCACAGCTGGCTCTGAACTTATTTAACATCCCCTTGTTTACATTGTAATACATATGGGACAAACAGTGTAGTGATATTATTTATTCTTCTGGTTTTGCTCAGAAATAAAGAATCTAAGGAGGCTTGAAAAAGGCCTATATAATCATTTCTCAGTGGGACACATGGCAGAAAACAAAGCCTCGAGACACAGTTTCTCCAACTCAGCTTCCAAAGGCAGGGTAAGCAGTTTTCATTGTACAGAAAAGGAGGCTCAAGGTATGCTCCTCTTTCTGTGTGCAGAAATAATAAAATGAAATGAAGGATAAAGCCAAGCATCAGTCATGCAGCAAACTGCAAAATGGCGGTATTTCCCAGAAATTGAAGCAAATGCAAAAGAAATTGCTTTTGGGGTTAAGTATGTGTCACTTAAATATAAATTCTGCAATGTGTAGCATTTATTACAGCCTTCTTCACACAAAACCAGCTCTTTTCCAGCACATACTCACACTGGGGTTGAAGTATTTAACAGCTTATAACAAGGACAATTTACCTGGTGGTATGTAGCCTAGCAAAGTGCAAGATTTACTTTACGGAATAAGCAGCAGAGTACACAAAATATTGAGCTTAAGGTCAAACAGAGCATGTCAGGAGTCAGCGCACAGGTACTCTTTTAAGGCAGTATGGCATTGGACCAAAATAAAATTACGTTTTTCCTCCATGAGGGGAGCAAGACTGAGAAGGAGAGAATTTTTCTTTGCCTGTCTCCATGACTGAAGCCCTCAGACTCACAGTCTCCCTTTGCTGTACAGGGAAAAAAGCAACCATTTTGTTTCTGACTGCATCAGAACATACACAGCCTCAGGTATGGCTTGTCCAATTACTCTAACGGATCAGAACACACATCCATACAGTTGTAACCCATCCAAACAGCCTATGCAGGATCAGGTTAATAGCTGAAAACAAAAACTGCCAGAACCAAACCTTTCTGAGCTGGTATTAGCTGCCAAAGCTTCCACCTCAGTGAACCACAGCTCACATGTGAGGAGCTATTTGTTTAAGAAACAGTACTGTCGTAATGTACAGCAGCAAGAAATACTACCAATAAAAAGATGAAAAAAATAGCATTAGGACAAGGGGCAATGATAGAGAGTTGGTCACATACTCAGAGTAGCTTCCTGGATTAGTGAGGCTGTGATGGGCTCAGCAAAATACCTGGGCATGCACAGCAGCCTGTTTCCCACGGATTAACAAGTTCCCCAAGTCAGCACTGTCCCCCCAGCCGACAATGCTAGTGGCAAAGCTGACAATAAATGCTTTCCCCTTTGCCCAAAGGTGCCATACAGAGCTCTGGGGAACAGTGCACCCTTCTCCTCCAAGTTTGCTGGCAAAGCTGGGAGGGGCAAATGTGTTCTGCAAGCCCAGGAACACCCCAAGAGGGCTGAAGCCTGAACAAGCCAGAAAAGCAGTTGCCTCCCTTGCCCAGACAAGGCACCGGCAAAACACTTGCAGGATCTGCACCCTAATGCAACACCTGATGCCATACGGGGTGCAAGAGCTGTCCTGCCCTGGGCTCTCCCTGCTAGACCATTCTGCCTCCCACTGTATTTGGCCAAAATAAGTTCAAACTCCACAACCATAAAAACATCCACTCTAGTCATAGGGATATAGTAAAGCTTAAATGGTCTTTCATTTCCAGCTTGTTTTTTTGGATTCTCTCCCATTCTTATACCCATGCAAAAAAAGAGCTCTTGTGCTTCAAATTTTGGATGTGCGGTCCCTGGCCACACAAATGTCATACGCACATTTTTGTACTCAAGAAGTTGCTTCTGTGATGCTACCTGCTTGCCAAGAAACTCTAAGTTTAACTTGAAGAAGATTTCTATGTGAAAGACATGGAAAATTCCCATAGAAGAAACTGAAAGTCAGGTTTTTGCCTCTTAACTTACTCCTAGCTGAACCACCTCTTAGGCAGCCAGTTTAATGAGCAGAAGCTATGTCAAAAAAAAAAAAACCATCCTAGAAACCACAATGGGTTTAGGAACCTGCTTGCCGCATGAAGCAGATCACAGCTAGTGTCCACTTATAGCACAGAAGGTGATATACTTTGGTGACAGATGAAAACATGCCCCATTGTCATGCTCCTCTTCAGAGAGCTTTAAGCACTAACATCATGGCAAAGCACTAAAAGCACACTGAAGCTGTTTCACAGATGGGAAACCCAAGGAGGGCAGGTCACCATTTAGACAACTTCATCGCACTGGGATGTGAACACAAGGCACCTTCAGTTCTCAGACAGTTGTCCAACACTGTGTGGAACAAGCGCCTGGTGGTGTTTCTGGATCATGACCTTTAGCACGGTGTTCATTCAGCTACGTGGGAAACACTACCCTGGCTCAACACTTCCAGGTGTGGTTAATCCAGTCATAACCTACCTCCATATGAAGGGCTGGCCTCTGCTCATAAGTTCCTCAGGGAGATCCAGAGGGCCCTCTACTAGTCCACCCTTTGGGCTACTAGCCTCTAGTACTGCTATAGTCATTTTTCCCTCTGCAGAGAAAAATTTAAAATAAGGTATTTCTGTGGAAAAGTCTTTTCTCCAAAAGCAGGGGAAAGAAAGTGTTCAGAAACGTAACCTGGGAGGTAGCATGAGTGCTTCTGACAGTATTAAGACAAAGACACTCTAAACTACAAAGCCCTTATCTTCGTATCAGTACTCCTGCCAGAAACCATAAAGATTTACCTTTAACCAATATTTACAGTATGGGTAAGGATGTGTTTATTCTCTTATGTACCTGAACAGACATAAAGGAGAGAATAGCTTTGGAAACATCTCACAAGTATATTTATTAATCAGGAAAAATCTGTCTCAAAGTGTGACCTACTTCATACTTTAAATAGCATTTCATTACAATGCAGCTGCACAAGCCTCCATTCTCCCTGAATAGACGCTTCATATGCAGAAGAGAGACTTCAGCACAGTACTTATTTACATACGTAAGTTCCTGGATTTGTTTAGGTTTGAGGACAGTAGTTCAAGAACAGTTTGTTTGTCTTAATCATTTGAAAAGCTTCTTTCTTTTCTTTCTCCACTGTTTATTATCCACTTCAGTATCATCAGGAGGATCTGGTATTACAAAGCCATCAGTCATTTTATAGTAGACTACTGTGGAATCTGACTCAACTATGGCCAAGGTAACTGACAGCGGGGTGTCGGGATCATCTTGGGGGAGAGATGCTTTCTTCAAAATTTCTCTTATCCTAGAAGAGGAAACAATCAGTTAGAAAGGAGTCCACAACCACCTAATGTCGGCACAAAGGTAGAAGTGCACCATTGCTATTTTTATTCAGCCTGTTTTTATTCTGCAAATTTGTTTTCACTAAGGAAAGTGTAATACCTGTTCTAATAAAAATCCAAAGTTGTGTAACAAGCAACTTGTAAAATCAAACAACAAAGAACCTTATAAAAACATATTCAGTTACATACATCTCTGATGGAAATGGTTCAACACATACTTCTAAGCTTTGCTTAGGTGTACGACTGTGCACATGCCTCGATGATCCTTCCAACTACCACAATCATAATGCCCTTGTTTTCATTAGATTAAAAAAAAAAAAGTTAATTGGATAACACACGGTGTTCAATTAGGTAACAAAATAATTAAGACTTGTTCCATTTGTAGAGCTAAGTCATCTAGTCTCTGTGCTACAGTTCTCTGCGCCAGACTGCGGAAGACCCAGGAACAGAAGCCAGGTTTCTCTACCTCCCCGTCTAGACTAGAAGCCACAAGACTAATGTCCTTCTTCAAGACAGTCAGCATAAATAATGTCTTCCTTAAAAATTCAAGAGAAAGTTATGCAATTTTCCCTGTTCAGCTTATTTTAAGAATAACATGCCAGTTGCTTTTCAGTTCAGAGCTGAGGACAACACTGATTCCTGGAGTCCTTGTATTCTGACTGTGGAGCAAGTACTGAAGGAGCCCAGTGCCCAGGGGCAGAACAGTAACACTCCCCATGGCAAGCGCTCTCCTTCATGTAAAGGTCAGGTGCAAGAGGGCTCATCTGGGATTGCCAGGACAGGTTACGCTCTGAGGAGGTCAGCTATGCAGTGGGAAAAGTCGCCCCTCGCTTCATGTGCCCCTGAGATCTCATTCACCAGAAAACATGCATTTCTGAAGCTGGGCACTGTAGTTGAAAATAAAGCTCTTTCTAAATGCATCAGCTTGCAAACTTCAATCATCACCGTCCTGCCAAACCTCTTTGATCCCTTAATAAAAGCTAAATCAAAAGCGGCAGAGAATAAGCAGCAGCCTGGAAAGCCTATGCTGTTAAGCCCGTGACCCTCTTAAGTATCCATCTGTGTTCTGAACTGTTCATAATTCAACTTGGCTAAATTCAGTAGTGCCTTTTCTTTTGCTTTCACTACTGGCCCATATATAATGCAAGGCAAGGCAATACAATATAGTTAGTCGTTTCATGCAACAGAGATACTAAGGTTGCAAAAAAGCGTATTCTGGTCCTCCTACCATCAGCACATTCCATAACAAGAGAACAAATAAGCAAAGAGACACTGTATTTGCCACTGGCAGAAGAGAGACACCTGCAAAAGACTCACATCTCAAGCAATGTGACATTAACTTCTCTGTTCCCTGCCACCTTGGCACTGCTTTGTCTGCATTTTCTTGGCAAGTGCCCCAGCCTCAGGGCTTTGCTGTGGGAACACTAACTGCACGGTGGGTATTTGGGACAGCGTAAATGCAAGCCTGCTTCCCAAAGCTGTAGGTACTGCATGGATGGGAGTGCTCTGCAACGAGAAAGAAACGCATCCCAGTGAGCAATGCCCCAAGTGCGGAGGGCCTTCCAGTGAAAGCACTACCTAGCAAGAGAGGTCATGTGCCTGCTGGAGTGGCACCAGGAAGCACCAAGCAAATCGCAGGTGTACAAGCAGGCACCAGGACTGCAGGAAGCAAGGACAAACAACTGAATGTCTAAGGCACAGCAGCGAAGCGCCGTACCTCTGTGCTGATGCTGGGCACCTTCTGCCCTTGTCACTTCCAGCCCCTCTTTAGGGGGACCTCCAGCACCACAAGGTCTTGCCATAGCTCTGGTGGGTGACGAGGGCCTGGGAAAGGATTCCAGATGTCCTTCCAGACATGCTATACATGCACAGAGCAAGAATCCACTTGTCACACCTTGGTAGCTTGTGTCTGGAGGAAGCTCTGAGTAAGTTCCCAATGATGAGGCCAGGCTACTGGCAGAGACCCAGTGAAGAAAAACATCCATGGCTTTTATGAAGCAGTGGATATTAATCTCTCTTCTTCTCCCAGAAATGTGAAACAGAAATAACAATAAAAAGCCAAATAAAAGGGCACACCTACCTGGGAGAGATATTTTGGGACCTAAAGAAACCAAACTTGTGTTGAGTCCTATTTGGAAGCAGATTCAGGCAGCAGCCTACATTCACCTCTCAGACAGGGCAAGAGCTCCTTCATATTTTTTTTTAGTAACTGTCACCGTTTCTCTTCCTAGTCTATTAGGGAGATGGACGTAACAGTGAGGCCTTAGATCTAGATTTCCCATCACTCATGATTTCTTCTTATACTGTCAAGCATAGACATCTGAACCTTTCTCTCTCCTCATTTAGCAGCTAAGACTTAGAAGATGCATCACAATCCCAGAAGCAGCTAGGTCCTGACAACAGGTTAATGACACTTCTTCACACCCCTGACTTACTTTTCAGGAGACTGAGTTTCAGGCTTTATGTAAAGAACACAAAGACATGCCATTGCCTCAGGATGATCTGCTAAAGCTGCTGTCCACAGAGCCCAATGCTTTCCACAGCACGTGGGGAATCACCATAAAGAATTACAACTGCAAATGCAAGATTCTTCTCTTCCCCCTGTTCTCAACACAGGCAGCTCCATAACAAGAGCTCTCATTCATGCATACCAGAACTAGCCATAATGCAATGCACCGCATCTGCAGATTAGTGAGAGGGTATCTTTTAAAAGAATAAGCTTCGGAATTCAGGAAGTCTGTACCAGACGCCTGTGTTTCCTCTCCTCCCCTGAAGGCATCACTGTTAGCCTCTGCATTCAGCATGTTCACAAAGCTGCTCTGCAGCAGCAGACATTTCAAAGGAGTTGGAAAACATCTGTGTTTGTGCTGATTTCACTGTACTTGCTACCTGCCACAAACAGAAAGAGGAAATATTGCAGGAAAGGTATAGGGTTTTTAATCCTTTTGATGTATCTAACACAGTCTATGACAAAAAAAAAAAAAGGCAAGAAGTGTTCTTGGCCTTCTGACATTCAAAGGAATGCATGATTGACCTCTAAACAAGGCAAGAAGCCTTTATTTCAAGCGATACAGCCCTCTACGCTGCCCATCTCACAACAGCTGCATTCAACGACTAAAATGAAGTCCTAAATGAGAAGCCCATATGTTAACACCTCCTCCCAACAGAGCTAGCTGACTTCATTTGCCAAGTTAATGGTTACAGATAAGCTCCTTAATGACCAGTATGTCTGCTACATCATGTAAGTGATGTCAGTTACAAAAGATTACTTTTGCTTAAGTAAAAGTGGATTTAATGTTTCTGAAAGTGTCAAGTATTAGAAGCCTCTGGAACAGGGGAATTCAATACATCCACCAGTCTTGACAACCTTCATTCACTAGCATCCTGACCAGCCTTTTCCTCATGAGTCACAACTGTGTTAGGATACATTCTGCAGATTGTTCCCACTGATATCAAGGGGTCCACAACGGCTCTGGTTTTGGTTCCCCTTTACAGGCCATGCTCCAACAGTATGAACCCCAGAGAAGCTGTGGTGTCAAGCATTTGGCATAGACTGGCTCTACCTGCTTCCTCCTTTTCAACACACATTCAGTCCACTCCACTGGCTACACATGAAGTTTTAAGCAGAATGTAGAGATTTAACACGAGAAAAGGTACAGCTGAGAAACAGTTAATTCTGTTCTAGTGTCTGAATAAAAGCTTGGCATGTTTTCAATACAGTCTCAAGCAAAGCCTATGTTGGAAGAACACACCATTTCACTTTGTCATCTCCTAACGGACATTGTACAACACAAAACTCAATCACCTTAGTACATGTTTGTCCACAGGCTCTGCCTTGTTCATCACCTCAGATCACCTCAGACTCGCTCAGCCTAGCTAGGATGATCAGGGGCAGTCAACCCTATACATATCGCCTTCTCAGGATTTATCCCAATGACTACCTGGTAAAAAATAAAAGGCATCTAGAGCCCCAAGACAGCTCATAGAACAATCAAGTGTGTGTGCTGCTGCACGCACAGTGGGAAGTCTATGAGTTAAAATATCCTGCAACCACTCCTTTCCATTCTCTTCCCCTCCTCATGAAGAAAAGCCACTGAATGTTAAAACAGGCAACACTGAAGCTTTAGGTTTCCCCTGCAAAAAGATACATCTCAAACAAAGGCACTGTGAAAGGCAAATAACATACATAAACTAGGGGAATACAGACACTACAACAAACACTGGAAAGTTGTATTTAAGTCCCATAAATAGAATATGGCTAAATATTTTAAAATATTTTTAATACATGTTTAATAAGAATATTTTAATATTCTTATTTTTAATAAGAATTCTCCTCTGTTGCAGATCATACAGTCTGAAGTTTTCAGAATCTCTAAAAAGTGATGGTATCTGAAAGTTTGTTGCAAGCTAGGATCTGCTCCCACCAAGAGAAACATGAGTAAGATGAAGCCCTCGGTTTCCACCTAGGAAGCAAAGTTAGATTCATCTCGCATTGCGGAAGACAAAAAGGATTTAATCTCAAACACTGAAGGAAATACTGTTATACAAAAGTAAAGCGCTGGCATTTCTAAAGCCCTTTGCATCAGAAAAAGGGCTTTAAAAAAGGTTTTCTAGATACCTACAAACTACAGTCAGCTGGGATTGCTTTCCTCTACCAAAGAATTAGTTGTTAAGAGCAGGTTTAACTTACTCAGTATCATGCAAGCACCACTGCAGCTAAGGTAACAGTACTATGAATGTCATCCGGTATCTGCCTTTACTGCTGCATTCAAACTAAACGGCAACAGCGAACTTACCTGGTCTTCTATTGCTATTGCAAATAATAGCTTAAAAACAAAACAAAAAATCCATACAAAAGAAAAGTGGGAAATTTTCCATCTTTCCCCCATCTTAATTTTTTATTAACAAAAGACTTTCATACTCAGTAGGCCTTCAACACACATCAGAAATCTGTACCATCCTT